AAGCAGTGGTATCAACGCAGAGTACTCGTTTGACGCACGGTTTTCTGGGTTCCAGTTATCGGATCAGTTTGTGCTTTTGCGCTGTTTACCTACATGATGATAGGGTACTATGACCAAAATTTCAACTCAAGACCTTGCCTACAACACGCTCTATGAATTTCGTGACAGACAGACATAAACACACACACAGACAGACAGACACGCGCTTTATTATAAGTCACTAGCTGCGGCTCCCGGTCCCGCCCGGGCCGAGAGTCCAGCATGGCCCAGCATAGGGTGTGCTTCAAGATGTATACTTACCGGTCCTCCACTTTCTTCAGTTCATATCTTCTGTTCTCTCCTGCTTCACCTCCATGTCAGTTTTAGCGCTCGTGTAGTATCCGTGGTGAATAGTCTTCTTTCTTGACCGGCTCGCTTTATGACACCGCATGCTCCTCACCGCAAAATGTAAATGATCTCTACCACCCCTTACTACTCACTTGGAGAAATGAATGGTATAGCCTTCATTTTCCTAGATTTTAGTAAACAAAATCAATAAATCGATAGAAGGACCCAGCGAATTGTCGAAAAAAGTAGCCTATCTTTTGCGCCGTGGCTTGTTTATAGGGAAACAAAATTCAGCCTCTTTGGTTCACATACAAAGGAGTCTATAAGCCACAAACATCCTAACAAACACGGTACAGTGTTTGAGTTTTATATATATACCAGTGCTTCACCTCTGCTTCGCAGAGGTTCGCACTGGCATCGTGAACCGTGGTAAACTCCCTATCTGAGAGCTCTCGAATCATAGTTCGGTTTATTGCAACGTGAGCCGTAGTTAAAAATGAACCATACTCGCTATCTTAACCTCACATGATGTTTATTATCGTAAATCATTCCTCACTGTAATTTCGTAACGGACAAACTCCACACAACTTCAGATTAAGCCGCTTATTATAATATATATAGATGATACATACAACACACATATATACAAAGGAATCAGAGTATATCCTTCGGGTATTGTGAACGTGTAGCCTCGGAAGATCTTATCCTGTAGTCCTTGGGTGTATTACGAGGATGCAGTGGTTTGTTATACATCAAACTCTTTGGGTCACTTCAAATCGCAAAGTTCTTGATTAATCCGTTAAGATCTGTGCGGGCACCTATCCTCAAACCAGGTGCAAAATTTAAGGACAGCCGCCTGAACGGTTCGATCAGGATCTTCAGCAACAAAATTTGTGCAGTGAGATCGGTAATACTCCATGTTGTCCGAGCAAAAACTGCCGGTTATCAAGCCGCCAACATCTTCACCGATATTCTGAAATTTATAATGTTCAGTTAAAGAGTAGAATAGATTTGCAACTGAACAGAAATAATTGTTCGACATTTGCACAGACAGGTCCTAAAAACGGATACCCCTCCTCCCGTCCTCTTTCTCGAATGAATTTTGGGAGTAGCATATCTGGATTATAGAATTGAGTGACTTGTTTTTATTTGCAAATGATCGAAGTAATTTTTGATTGACAATTATGAAGATTCAGACTTGCTTAATATGAAAATTCGCCTATTTTTAAAAAAATTCTGAAAATCTCCAAAAATTCGTCGAAGGCCGCCTACACTCATCCTTATTTCAGCGGTACATAATTGCACCATTTTTGAGTTTGCACTTATGCATGCGCTTCCTTTTTGCGATAATTTGCAATTTGCCCTTTTGTCATTTTCAGTAATGCTATAGTCAGTAGCCACCCTCCTGCTTTACTGAAGTTATGAAAAGTTGTGCGATTACACAAAGTTACTGTTAAAATGAGAACTACTATATGTGTAGTTACAAGACGTAGTGCAAGAAATGTTTTTCAAGCAACTTGTTAGAAATAAGGGCTTCGCCCAGATCGTACTTCATACATCATTTTCTGCTGCGCTGCAGCACGTCAAAGAACCAAAGTGATGATAATTAGTGCAGCACGTTGCCAAATAAAGTTCTAACTTATTAGAGATTGCAAATTAGTAAAAGACCATAGTTTGAACTTATGATCTAGGCTACATTTTGCAAAAGTAGAAGAGCAACTTGTGACTTTCAGAATTCATCAACAAAATATGACACTCAGCACATAAGTCCATCGGTTAACTATTAGGTTGATGCATAATTCTTGCACCAAAATTTTCAAAATTCTGTTACTTCATCCAGCTGCAATGAAATCTTCTGGTTCGATACATAGTAGAGAGAGCAAATCTTGCGCCTTCTGATGGTGCTCAAGCCAAAAGTCCTTGATGGCATATGGCAACAATACAAGGTGAATAAGAGAAATACCCATAAAGTGATTTTTCGATTTTTAGTCACTAAAATTGCTAAAACGTCTACTAGAATTTAAATTTATTTTTGGTCCAAGTTTTATGGCATGCTCTTTTTAACTAAGAGAAGTTGGTAGTGATTGGATGTCTCTGCAAATATTTACGAATTTCGATTTTTTTGAAATGACTTATCGATTTTTTTTCAAATCGATTTTCTAAAATCACTACGTAATATATAACGAATTCGTTGTTTACCCATTAATCCTTTGATAGTTGGATTATGGCAAACGAGGAGGACGCAGACGTAAAAATTATGATGAAATACACTGATCTTTGGAATTGGATTGCTGCCATTAGCGGTAAGTCAGTTGGCACGATGCCAGATTTTCGTAAGCCTTTGGAACGGTGCCAAATTGCGTAAGTATGGGCAACTGAAACAACATACATGCATAACGGCATGTTTCGGGCGTGTTTTCGATCGATATCGTCATTATTTTTCACGTCTGCAGTTTTGACCATCCTAGGAACTGTTCTAATTTCCACGTTCATTCTAGAATTTCTTCCAGTAACTGTTGTTCTGGATTCTTCTCATTCGAGAATATCTTAATAAGAGATTGTCATCGCCGATGATTTGGTTTCTAAGGAGAGGGGAATCTAATCTGACCGGATCTTTGATATTTGCTTCTAATAAGATTGTTATCGCCGAAAATTTGTTTTCTATGGAGAGGGGAATTTTGAGGTAGAAATTTGCCAAGCGTACTCCCGGTAACATCGGAGCTAAAACTGATCGTGAGTTCATTACAGATCCGACTCTTCTGTGTGAGGTGTTTAGTATCTTGAAAACACTCAGTGAGAGAGATTTTACTCCAAATATGACATCCGCCTGTAGGTACAAATAGCAGATACAAATGAGCAGATGTAACGGAACGTCTGAAAGAACTAACAAAACAAACGAAAGATGAGTGAGGAAATTTGTTTTTATTTTACTGAGATCTGAGATGAGTGATATTTAGGCCCTGTATTCTCTGCAGGTTTGCTGTGCAAGAGAGGAAAACTTGTCACCGTTTTGGTATACAAAAGTCTGTTGAAACCCGATCGAGCAGAGAAACAGATTTTTGTATGTTTGGGGCAGTTCTCGTAATTTTTGAACGGTCTTCAAGCGGCACGTAGGGAATAAACTTTCTTTTTGAATAGTTACTACCGGTCTGTAAGCGGCACGTAGGGCAACCCGATCGGGCAGGGAAACAGATTTTTTTGATGTTTGGGGCAGTTCTTATAATTTTTAAACGGTCTTCAAGCGGCACGTAGGGAATAAACTTTCTTTTTGAATAGTTACTATCGGTCTGTAAGCGGTAGGTAGGGCAACCCGATCGGGCAGGGAAACAGATTTTTGTATGTTTGGGGCATTTCTTATAATTTTTAAACGGTCTTCAGGCGGCACGTAGGGAATAAACTTTCTTTTTGAATAGTTAGTATCGGTCTGTAAGCGGCACGTAGGGCAACCCGATCGGGCAGGGAAAGAGATTTTTTTTGATGTTTGGGGCAGTTCTTATAATTTTGAAACGGTCTTCAGGCGGCATGTAGGGAATAAACTTTCTTTTTGAATAGTTAGTATCGGTCTGTAAGCGGCACGTAGGGCAACCCGATCGGGCAGGGAAACAGATTTTTGTATGTTTGGGGCAGTTCTTATAATTTTCAAACGGTCTTTAAGCGGCACGAAGGGAATAAACTTTCTTTTTGAATAGTTAGTATCGGTCTGTAAGCGGCACGTAGGGCAACCCGATCGGGCAGGGAAACAGATTTTTGTATGTTTGGGGCATTTCTTATAATTTTTAAACGGTCTTCAAGCGGCACGTAGGGAATAAACTTTCTTTTTGAATAGTTACTATCGGTCTGTAAGCGGCACGTAGGGCAACCCGATCGGGCAGGGAAACAGATTTTTGTATGTTTGGGGCAGTTCTTATAATTTTCAAACGGTCTTTAAGCGGCACGAAGGGAATAAACTTTCTTTTTGAATAGTTAGTATCGGTTGTAAGCGGCACGTAGGGCAACCCGATCGGGCAGGGAAACAGATTTTTGTATGTTTGGGGCATTTCTTATAATTTTTAAACGGTCTTCAAGCGGCACGTAGGGAATAAACTTTCTTTTTGAATAGTTACTATCGGTCTGTAAGCGGCAGGTAGGGCAACCCGATCGGGCAGGGAAACAGATTTTTGAATGTTTGGGGCGGTCCTTATAATTTTTAAACGGTCTTTAAGCGGCACGTAGGGAATAAACTTTCTTTTTGAATAGTTAGTATCGGTCTGTAAGCGGCACGTAGGGCAACCCGATCGGGCAGGGAAACAGATTTTTGTATGTTTGGGGCATTTCTTATAATTTTTAAATGGTCTTCAAGCGGCACGTAGGGAATAAACTTTTTTTTTGAATAGTTACTATCGGTCTGTAAGCGGCAGGTAGGGCAACCCGATCGGGCAGGGAAACAGATTTTTGAATGTTTGGGGCGGTCCTTATAATTTTTAAACGGTCTTCAAGCGGCACGTAGGGCAATTTGATCGGACAGGGAAAGAAATTTCATGTACGTTTGTGCAGTTCTTATGATTGACGGTCTTTAGGTGGCTCCTTTTTGTAGTAAAGCTTCATATTCCTTCACCGAAAAAATAAGGATTCTTTAACAAAGTTTCGATTGATTTCGTTGCTGTCGAAATTGATTCTGAGAGAAAAACGTTTTTTGTAGTACACTAATTCTTATGGTGTATTTCTACTTCCAAAACGATAGATGTTCTGCTACTTAACGATCTTTTATGGAACTTGTTGAGAAGAACTGAAAGAGCAAATTCTCTTTGAGGGGGTAGAAAAGTGGGGGGGGGGGGTATCTGAATGTCTTTGTGAGGAGGGGATTTGCATAAAGAGCGTGTAAACTAGATAAGAATAATATCATGCATGGTTGTAGCAGGAATTTCGAGAAATGCTGAATGATTTGTGGAGATTATCGCTTCTTCGAGCAGTTATCCTTTTGTGGAATCCTTTTCGCAAAAATGTTCTCAGGAAAAGAACAGAAAACTTTTTCAGAAATATTTTTAGTCACAACTAAGCCCTTATATTGTATCTGCCCTGACCCACTTGCTAGCGACCCGTAGGGTCGCTAGTCTTATATATAAAGCTGAATGTCTGTTTGTCTGTCTGTCTGTCTGTCTGTCTGTACGTATGTTCCGAATAGAAAATTCCATTTCTGAACCGATCGGGACCAAACTTTGCACACATACACTTCGGGCCCCGGCGGGTGTCATAGGCTACTTTTCGTCATCGATCGATATCGATTTTATCGATTTTTTTTGCAAAATTTGAGCTACAGGGCTGGAATTTGGCAGAGGGGTGTAATCGAGCATGCTGATCACCCCCACGGGGGTGATCAACATGCTCGATTACCCCCCTGTGAAAAATCCCAGCCCCCTAGCTCAAATTTTGCAAAAATCGATAAAATCGACATCAATCGATAACGAAAAGTGGACTGTGACACCCGCCGGGGCCCGAAGTGTATGTGTGCCAAGTTTGGTCCGGTTCGGTTAAGAAATGGAATTTTCTATTCGGAACATACGGCGGAGCCGGGTAAGCCAGCTAGTGTACTATAAAATACTACTTTTGATATACATGACATAGAGCAGAACGCGTAAGTTGACTACTTTGTTTAAGCATTTTTAAAATAATTTTTTTGTATTTTTTGGTGCAAGAATTGTGCACCAACCTAATAGTAAGTCAGGCAACGAAACTTCAATGATGGAGGAAGGGTTGGCCCGCCATAAGCAAAGCGGTTGCGACGCAGCTTCACAATGATTAGTGCGCGTGCCAGTCACGTTGATTCTAGACGCCACGCGCCACATTCGCGCACGCTCAGTTTGCTCGGCCATCGTCTTCATCTGCCAAAGGAGTGGAAATGAGTATTCTGATAACCTGTGCAATTGCGCAAACTATACTTTTTGTATATATATTTTTGAGTATGCAATTTTGTAGAAATTTTTGTAGAATTTTTGCAAAAATATTGCTGATTCTCGCTGCCTAGGTTTTAACTGACAAAAGTTTTTCCGAAGTTGTCGTTTTTCTCAAATCATTTCAAAAGTTAAAGTTAGAATCGGAGAACTATTTTACACCATATTATAATGAAAGCAGCCTAAACCGACAAAACTGCTCAAGCCTCTTTCTCTAAATATGTCAAAATATGCGTTCGTACGCAAATGCACAGATTGTAGATTGTTAACCAAAATATCAGCGACTATGTGCGATGAAGAAAGAATTTAGCAAATAAAACTGAAACTTGTTGGCGACATATCGACGTTTTTGTTAAGATACTCACTCCTTCCGCAAATGATGATGTGAGCCTTCTTGTCTGCCTTTGAGCTGTTAAGCCAACCATCTTCTCAGAAGAATCCCCTTCTAAAGCAGAATAGATCACAATAAAAACTTTCACTTTCAAAAATCTACGAACCGTCCAACTCGCGTACTCCGACCAATTTTTCCGGCTCTATGGCATCGCGTTCATTTCTTTCCGTGCTAGAGAACTTTATGCCAATCATAGCATCTGGAGGGAAGCCCTCGATATAGCCTAAAGACGAATTTACAGTGCGAAATGAAGGGAATATATCATATTTTCAATAAAGTCTACTCACACAGACAGATGAAAAACACTACGACGGAAGTCGCTTGCATTGTGATAAGCAAACAAGTGTCGTCGTCGCTCTTTAAGCCATTTCCACAGTTATTACGACATGAGAGTGAACTCTTGTTATGATCATGGGTGGAACTTCGAACTTGTCTTACGTTGATAGAAAAATCAACACATAGCACAAAGTTATCGCGAGAGGGACCTTCAAAAAATGATTTTATGAGGGAGAATTCCCGGGCAGCAAGCAGAATTGCAAGGGTCAGATGAAAATTATCAAGCCAATGTACATTTTCCGGTAATTTGATTGTTGCTTACTCAAAATTATAGGAATGACTGCAGCACATAGATGAAGAGCTTCCTACACAAAAGGACGCACCTAAACGGCAAGAAATCAAGAGTTGTTCTGACTAATTCTTACCCATCAATCTCAGCAGCTTATATAATTACTTGAATCGGAAAGATTTTTGCTCCAAAAACCAATCTTTCATTTGAAAAACAGGTTCTATGGCTGGGTTTTGAGATTGTGGAGAAAATCTTATTCTTACTGTCTTGGTAACAGCTTCATACAGAATCTGTCTCAATCCGGATCAGACAAAAATTGGCCTGATGCGCGTCCACATCGCCTCAGAATTGCGTCGCGTCTAATTTTGCTATAGAACGTCGCTACCCTATTACCCATTCATATTAACGCAGTGCTTAGCGCGCGCACGCGCAGCGCAAAGCACTAGAGCTGCGGGTGCGCGCGCACGGTTGGAACAGATTGTAAATAGAGCATAGTGCGCAGGCGCTATTGCGTACTCCTGTCAAAAAAGTTTTAATCTTCTGATCAGAGTATCATATAAGTTCCCCGCAATTATGAATTCTTCACAATTCTATTTCTTCCAGCAAAGATCATATTTTCAGCCTTGCGACATTTAAACTTGTAAATTGATCTCGCTAAACATATTAGGTCATTCCGAAAGTAATTTCTCTTTTTTCAAACGGGCGCCACATTTGGTGGAACAAAGATTTCTAAGAGATCTTGGCAGCATTCGACACTGCATTTTATCCTCTTTCATCCTCTTTCTAAAAGTTATGAAATTGTTGCAATACAGTCAATGAGCTTTCAGAAAATAACCAAAATCTGCGACCTATGCTTTTTGAAATGGTCAAGTTTCATAATTTTTCTAAACTTTTATATCAACCCTCCGAAGAAGCAAAAGTAACTTGTCTATAAAGCAAACCCTACAGGACGCAAAACAATTTTTTTCTCCTTTCCATAGCTTGTCAAACACTTTTAACAGAATTTCAACCGATGCTACCGATTTCCATACTTGGACAGCTAAATCCTCGTAGAACATCAAAGGAAGAGCAGCACGGGCACTATTCGATGCAGCATTTTTTCCTCTTTCTAATGGGTGTTTTTTGTTTCCGATTCGTTTAGTTTTCGGGGATAAAATCATTTCATTTTTTAAGGAACCCCAGGCTGTACCCGAAAAACTCGAAATTTGATATTTCGAATCCGTAAACTCTCACTTGCTTTGTAAAATTAGTGGTAACTCATAGCACCATCTTGGTAGTCTCAAATTCCGAATAACTATGATGTTTGATGAGACTGTGGCTGATGTAGGCCTGCCATAATCAATGGCGTTGAAAAATCTTTTAAAAAATTACGGCGAATTATGAAAAAGAAAAAAAGTTGAACTGTATTCTAAAAGGTTTGCTCTATCGAATCGTTACTTGAACTCCTTCTGAAGATTGATCTAAGAGTTTTAAAAAATTGTGAAACTTGACCATCTCAAAAAGCATAGGTCGCAGATTTTGGTTATTTTCTGAAATCTCATTGACTATGTTGCAACAATTTCATAATCATTGGAAAGAGGATGAAATGCTGTGTCGAATGCTACCAAGATCTCTTAGAAATCTTTGTTCCATCAAATGTGGAGCCCGTTTGAAAAAAGCGAAATTACTTTCGGAATGACCTAATATATATATATGACTTTTATTCTATTTAAATTAGTTTATTTCATGCCTTTCAAAGGCCATAATTAGTGCCAAACTTCAATGATCGCTGCGCAAATGCGCCATTCAACAAAAATGAGAATTTGAAGATCAAAATTCAACAACATATTGTACTTGCTGGGAATGACTGAGAAGAGTACAACAGATCAGGTTTGCGTTCTGCAAGAATTTTTCAGAAACACTAAAAAAAAGCAGCTTAGAGTTTCATTCCTTTCCTTAAGAAAACAACGGTACACGGGAGATGTGAACATGAAAGGAATGCTGAGAAAAGCAATGCGCGAAAAGAGAGGAGGATTAAACTGAAGAGGAAGGTTGGAGATAGCCACCGATTTGATTGAAAAAGAAGAAAATTCAAATTTGCAAATTCAAATTCAAATTCAAATTACTTTGTTTCAAAGGTGAACTAGCTATCCGTTTTTGCACTCAAGACAAAGCACTACTCCTTCTTTGTCCACCTCAGGAATCCCGCTTCAGAAGACCTGCAAACTGTGGAATTAGAAGCCAACCAAAATTTCGTCTTTTCCATTTTTCGCTTTTGATCGCTGTGCTCTCACCAAATATTACTCAGAGCTAAGAAGACAAATCAGGCTCCAAACAGTCCTATGGAATCTACAAGGTTTAGGCTATCGATTCATATAAATACTGTCCGCTAAAAATGTTTTTTTGATATAGTTAATGGGGTGCGGCACACCCCCTTAAAAGCTGCGGCTGCCGCAGCTTTTAAGGGGGTGTGCCGCACCCCCTTAACTTGCCTTCAAAATCCAGAAAGCGCTCCATTGCTGGTATGAGTATTGAGCACATAGCTTCTTCTTGCTACACTGGAAATTTGGAGCCGAACGCCCCACCCATAAGAAAATTATGACCCTTTCAATATGCCCATTCAGATCAAAATCAGCCGTCAAATTACGTGTGACTGTAAAGTGCAGTCACAGAAAATCGGTCGTACAGCTCTCAGAAATCTGAAAACTCTCTAAAAAAAGATGGTGTCCTCCACAATGTCACACTTTGAGGTCCAGAGGTTAATAGGGGGGAGGAAGGGGTCGTTTGAGGGTTTTCATGGGAGGGGGGGGGGGGGGTTCGAAAGACTTGTGCCTGACCTCTTTCTCAACTCTGGTAATGCTATCTTAGGTATATAGTTCAGGGGGGGAAGGGGGGTCTTATTAAGACAGCAATCAGGGGGGGGGGGGGGGGTCGTAACCAGCGATCGTGTGCCACACTCCTTGCTTGACCCTAAACTGACCTTGTCACTGACAACGGATTTGACTGCGGTCTTTGTGCCCACAGGAGCAGAACCCATTCATACAAAAATGCATCACCTCATCCCTCAGCTCAGTTACTTCCGGTGTTCGAATGCTATCATATGTAAGCAGAAAAACCATTCGAGTAGAGATGAAAACCAAAAAATAGCGGTTGTTGGATATGCGTGCGTGTCGCGCGCGGACGCGCTACCGCCACGGATTTTCGAGTGCCCTATATCTTTGTACCAAAACTTTCTACCCATCATTGTGCATGTTTAAAAATTTTGCACTTTTGTAAACTTTCTGAAGAAAAGTCACAAAACCTTTGGAGCTCGATCTCTTGGAGAAAGAATTTTGGGATTGGATTTCTTGTCTTCCAAAGCACAGCTTCGAAGCGAATTCTTTCTATTGATACAAAAGCACATACAATAAACAAGAAAAAAGCTTTCAGTTGGTGCACGAAGTCTCCTGTGAAATATGTTTTCCTCGCGAGCAATTCAAAGAAAGATGCGTGAGAAACCATTGATTGTGTGCCAAACCCATTCATGACACAAAAACATCGAAGAAATCCCAAGGATGATTTCTGCTGAATTGATGGTTTCGATCTACTGAGCTAAAAAAATACGTCAAATTTTGAATTGCAAGTATTTTTGCCAGAATCAAAAATATCCTTCAATGGATCATTGAGCGAGAAACTTCAACGATCCGTTGTTTTCGACCTAAATTCTTCTAGCCTCTTCCACTGAACACGATTTGCAAATGCAAAATTCAATGAATCGGTTCCAGATTTTTCAAGAAATGTCCATCGAATCCAAAAGAATAATTGTCACTTCTGCAAAGATATGCAGCACAGCGGATCAAAAAGCAAAGAATGCTATACTTGAAAAGTAGTAAACATAGAGACCAACGACTATCTCAACAAGTTTTCACACTCTTGACGTTTATCGTAAAAAATATCTATATTAGGTCAACCTAAAATCACCCAGTGGTATGTTGAATATAAGAGAATAACTGCAAATTCTGCAGAGGTATCCGGCATAGCGGATCAGAAAGCAAGGAATGCTATTTAAAAATTGGTAAACATAATACATAATATTACAAGATTCGTGACACCATTTAACAACATTTATCATGAAAAATGTCTATATTAGGTTAGCATAAATTTAAGTACAAAATTCCTTTCTAAGAAAATTAAATAGTGCCTCGATAAAAAAGGAAGTTGTGCAGCAGCAGCAACTAGTCAAGTGTCCACAGTCATCCCTCGAAGGTTTGACCGCTATCAACTGTCCTATTAGAGCAGCTATCCCGGAAGTTCAGGTAATACATTTAGGGTTGGCTTCAACTTATATTTTTTAAAAAACAGATCACCGACCTGTTGTCACCGTGAAACTACAGTAAGATCTTTCTAAAGTCTAACGAGAGTTTATTTCGCACCAAAAAATCAACATGTTGATAACATCGGTAAATCCATGAGCATTCAGCTTTGTAGTAATTTAATTTGAAAATTACGACAGATACTATGACTACGCCTTCCTAATAATCATAAGAAATCTGATCATATCAATTCAGCTGTCTACAAACATGTAAAAAACTTTTTCTCAAATCAGGGTATTCAAAAATTTCACATTAAAAATTTTCAGAGGTTTTGGAATTTTTCTGAATTGGCGACTGATCTGCGATAACAGTGACAATGTGACAATGACAATGAGCTGAGATTATAAACCGTAATCCTACAGTAACGAAAGGCAACGGGTGTTTCTTCATGTACTATAAATTTGAGTTAAAGCTAGCCCTACTAGGAGGTAACTGAAGATATGCGAAAGCTATCCAGACAAAAGAGTTATCAGCAATCAGACATCCGATAAACTTTTTTTTGGAGGGAATCCTGTGTTATGAAAGGAACTTTTACCGTGAACAGCTTGACTCCTCCAGCCACGATGACAGGTCACATTAGATAAATCAGGAAGATGACGTTCTCAAGCATCGCTCTTCCTACTAAGCCAAAAAGGTACATCTGAGTGAATGAGCATGCACAAACAAATTAGGTATCTTCGTTCGGGTAGGGGAACGAGTACCCGAGAGGTGCCTCTGCAAATTACTGTTCACTTTCTTTATGCTTGTATCGCAGGACCACCAATCCCTGGGAATGATGCCGGGTTTACCAATAAGAGTTGCCAACTAAAAACTAATATAGGCATTTCAACAACAACATATGTCAAAATTCTTCATGCTCAGTGAACAGATTGACAAATTTCCCACACTAAAAAATATTATCTACTTCGTCCTTATCAGAAAGACAAAACAAGAACTTTGAGAAATATTCCAGCTGATGGTCGCATAACCACTTTGAGCTAATCAAACCCTTCTGCGATTTCCTCGAGCACGTCCAAAAGTTTTCCATTCAATTCTTCTAACAGATCGAGCCGCTCATTCTTGTAATAAAGGCGCGCACGTTTGCCCACTTGGGCTTGGATCTGCAATTATAAACATAGCTCAAAGTCATGAATAAGACAGAGCTAACGCACTCGTTGAGCTTCACGAAGAGCTTCTTCAAGCCTTTCTTGTAGCGGAACTTCGTCAGACAATGAAGCAGGTGTCAAACTGCGGTTGTCTTCAGCATAGTCGGAAATATCCTCGTTTTGGATATCTTGATAGGTGCTCTCAGCATTATGAGAAATCTCGTCGTGTTGAGAAAAGGTGTTGGTTGGTTTCGAATTCGGAGCTTTTTGAGAGCGAGTTCTAGTTCGAACCGACCGATCATTGTTTGCGACTGTGATTTTGAAGCGAGAAGCGATATTACTGCAAATTTAAATTCAAATTTAGTACAATTCATTACAAGATCGGGAATTACGTTACGTCTCTCGGGGTGAGGTAGTAAAGTCGTGGCTGCCGTTCTGGGACGACGTCCGGCAAGAAATTCTTGTCATGCAGTTCCGAGACTATCTAGGAAAGGATAGAAATATAAAAAATGTTCAAAAATATAAAAAACAGAAAAATAATAAAACCATATGCAAAACTTATTCACTACCTTTCCAGGAGGAACACCCGCCAAGAGCATGGATTTGACAATCTCCACGTCATCCTTTGATAACGGCATGAGAGCGGTGCTAACCTCATGTCCGAGATGACCAAAGCAGGCTTCAGCTTCAACCAAACCATCACGACGTTCCAAGGCCTCAATGAAAAGTAAGATGAACAATTCAGCCCATAAATCTTCTAAAAATACCTTTGCAAAAGATGGACAATTCTTGTGAACACGTTTTGTCTCCCTATACCGTTTCCGCATTTGCTTAGGATCGACGGTTCCCCCGTTGCCTCTTGCGTGTTGACATATGTAGATTTGGCTTACACCTTTACTACTCTTCCTGTTACTTCTTTTCACAAATCTGGTAATAGTTGCTCGCTCCATTTCGGCCAGCCATGTCTGCAGAAAAGGTACAATGACACTGCATGATAATTGAGAACATATACACACAGTCTGTGTCAACTACGCACTCCCTTTCCGGTAGAAGCAACGAATTCGTAACGCGACTGTCAAGCATGCGAATTTTCAATCGATGAGGCTAATGCGGAAGCCCAAGCCATACGCGCTAGAGTGGCGCAAAGCTCTAGCTCAAGGATAACTGGTGACACAGGTCATATAATCTATGTCCCATCATTCTTCTAATGAGTAGCACGTCTCGCATGCCTTTTGCGCCTTTTCGCTGCCTTTGGCGAGTCCTTGCTACAGCATTCAAATTGGTTTTCTTGTGCCAACTCGTCAAATGCAGCAAATAGCCTGTTGCGGTGGTATTTGAAGGAAATTCAGCTAGACTATAGGTAGGTGCCAGACTTATACGGTTCATCCATTTATCTATTTCACGCATTTGCTATTGGTCAGATCACTGAAATGACCAATAGCGAAGGGTGAACCGAATGAACCATATGTAACGGCTAAGTCTGGCGCCTACCATACAGCGAGTACTTCCCGCTCGGCGCAATCGTGACATGTTCGCGCGTATTAAATATCGCCTCATCTGGAGTTCCGCACGCAATGCCTCGCCTGCGGATGCATAGTCAAAAAGGGATACGTACAGGCTGTCTCAACGTGAGTGTCAAAGTTTCGGCAGCTCGGCCTCGCGCCGCGTCTGCGCACGTATCCTCAGGGACTCTTTCCACGTCCGAGATAGAGAATGAATGCTGACAAGCTTGGAAATCAAAGGACACGTACGCGAACGCGGCGCAAAGCCAAGCGAAGCGGCTGCAAGGGACCCGAAGCATAGTTGCGATAGGGGGAGTGATGGATCCTACCCCCTTCACTTTGAGGCCAAACTCCCGATGACCCCCTTCACCTGGGCTGAGATTGGTATCGTACTCTGAGAATATGATAAAAATCGTTATGAAAAGCAGGCTAGGTACCTCAAACAACAAGTACACTCATAAATTTACTAAAGAAACGGTATTTATGTTTATTTATATTATTTATTTATCCTCGTAGCATTTTGGAGAGAAGAGAGTAAGTACACAAAATCACTTAATTTTTGAAGCACATAAAATCTCTCATATCTCGCGGCACAGAAGACCTAGAAAAAAGTCGACGGTCTACGTCGATTCTCCATGATCTCAGCTTTCGAATGGTATACAGCATGTTAGGGCTTCTTTGCTTCCCGGCTCTAAAAATCATTTTCTCCGGTAACCGATAAAAGCCAATACATTGGTAGAGCCGGATTGGAGCAAGCTAATAGTAAATATCTCCACCCCATTTTTGAAAACTGGTCCGTTTTTTCGCCCAGCAACCTATATACCATTCGAAAGCTTAGGAAAAGGGGATTCGACCTAGACCGTCGACTTCTTTCTAGCCCCCCTCTACCGAGAGATACACTGCATTTTATCTGAAAACATGGTCATTTTCAACAGCAGATTTCTGCCAAATGAAGACCTAATCACTGCTGCTTATCTATCTGTGTTAAAGAGCAAGTCTTCATTAACAAACGTAGACCGTCGACTTTCTCGTAGCATTCATTTGGAGAGCAGAAAGTGAGGACACAAAATCAGTTAATTTTTGAAGCACATAAAATCCCTCATATCTCGCGGCACAGAAGACCTAGAAAAAAGTCGACGGTCTACGTCGATTCTCCATGATCTCAGCTTTCGAATGGTATACAGCATGTTAGGGCTTCTTTGCTTTCCGGCTCTAAAAATCATTTTCTCCGGTAACCGATAAAAGCCAATACATTGGTGGAGCCGGATTGGAGCAAGCTAATAGTAAATATCTCCACCCCATTTTTGAAAACTGGTCCGTTTTTTCGCCCAGCAACCTATATACCATTCGAAAGCTTAGGAAAAGGGGATTCGACCTAGACCATCGACTTCTTTCTAGCCCCCCTCTACCGAGAGATACACTGCATTTTATCTGAAAACATGGTCATTTTCAACAGCAGATTTCTGCCAAATGAAGACCTAATCACTGCTGCTTATCTATCTGTGTTAAAGAGCAAGTCTTCATTAACAAACGTAGACCGTCGACTTTCTCGTAGCATTCATTTGGAGAGCAGAAAGTGAGGACACAAAATCAGTTAATTTTTGAAGCACATAAAATCCCTCATATCTCGCGGCACAGAAGACCTAGAAAAAAGTCGACGGTCTACGTCGATTCTCCATGATCTCAGCTTTCGAATGGTATACAGCATGTTAGGGCTTCTTTGCTTCCCGGCTCTAAAAATCATTTTCTCCGGTAACCCATAAAAGCCAACACATTGTATAGGTCGTCCCGAAAGTTTTTGAGCACAATTTTCAAAAATTCATAACTTCTGATTTTTCCAACCGATTTGACTGCTTTCACTTTTATGTGAAAGGGTAAGTCATGCTCTTTGTAATGACATCCCATCTGCTTAGTAATGGTCATCTCTTGCATAGATAGAAGCTCAAACAAAATCACTCGGAATTTGAATTTTTGTGTAGGGTCATAAAAAATCAGAAACTTGCAACAAAATCGGAGCAGTCGGTATTTTAGGTTCTTTCACCAACTCTTTCTAACAGTGCAAAGTTTGCTCCGATTGAGCGTCTCCATGAAAAGTTATAATTTCCGAGCAAGCAGTACAAAAAGGCGAATTTGATTTATTTTGGCATTCTTCAGGGAGACCATAACTTTTCATGGAGACGCTCAATCGGCGCAAACTTTGCACTGTTAGAAAGAGCTGGTGAAAGAACCTACAGTACTGACTGCTCCGATTTTTGTTGCAAGTTTCCGATTTTTTACGACCGCACACGAAAAATTCGAATTTTGACCAAGTTTTTTCTATTGCTCCTATCTATGCAACAGATGATCATTAGTAAGCAGCTGAGATGTCATTATAAAGAGCATGGCTTACACTTTCACATAAAATTGGAAGCAGTCAAATCGGTTGGAAAAATCAGAAGTTATGAATTTTGAAATTCGTGTGCAAAAACTTTCTGGACGACCTAATAAGAGCGAGGTGGAGCAAGTTAATAGTAAAAAATGTGCTGTGGATTGAAATCGTTATCAGCACTAACGGGAACGTGAGCGAACGCGTCTATTTGAGCGTGCTTATCGTTGTTATATGTTTACGTTTTTTTGGTAAAAAATGCGCTTTTGATTGACAGTTATGCCATCATTGTTAGCACACACTCAAAAAACTATGGGAGATTGGTGATTTTCCACACCTTCACACAAAACCCGCCCATTTCTGGAATCTATACTCTGTAAACCTAGTGCTGAAGAAGGTCACTTTCGTGAAAACGCTCTAGACTCACCTTACCTAATTTTTAGAGAATGGTTGGTTTCAATGAATTAAAAACTCTAAGACATTCGGAAGAATAACATGTTATTAAAATATTCCTCAATGTTTTGGAAAGGTTGGCAGTTTGAAAAATGGCAGGCAGAATACTTTACAAAATCGCAGATGACTCGCATGTGTTCCAGTTCAACAGCGAGGCAGAAGGAGAATCTTACGCCGACGAAAATGTTGTCGACATTGATACAGAGTTGGCAATTGAGTGAAACTCTCTGATTTCCTGCATAAGGAATCCAAGCAGATTGTCTAGTTTCAATGAGGAAATGTCCAGGAAGTCCATTGCTGATCTTCAGGTTGCTGAAGAATTCAAGGCTGCTAAATTCACAAACATGGATATGAACAAAAGGAAGGTGTTAGTATAAAGCATAGTTACTGCGCTTAGATCCCGGCTGGAGTGCGAACCCAACTCTGTGCTTTATGCTTTTGAAAGTTATTCGCCTTGTGACAATATGACCTATGATATTGAAAAAAAAAACCAACGCGCAGCATAGTACCTCCTTTTTTCGGCTATATGCTGGTAAAGAAGAAGTTGAGCAGCTTTCTGATCAGCTAACAGGACGTATGCCAGAGGAGGTGAAGCCAGAGTTCGACAAGGCCCAAAAGAGTATGTACTATTTCCTTATCGTGTTGCGAAAGCATATGCGATCTGGCTCTTTTCCCATTACTTACCGCAAAAATCTGATGGACCTACTAGCAAAGCTAGTTTCCATTCCGACTAGTACGGCAGAGGTAGAGAAAGAAATTTTCTATCTACTCTGTTATCAGAACACAACGCAGAAGTCGTACAACGATAGAGCATCTAAGCAAATACTTAAGATTTGTCAACCTTCTACCATTGTTATCTGAAAACTTCATTTAAAGGATTGATATAAGTGGTCCAGACAGGCTGTTACCGTATGACTTTTTGAAATATCCTAAAAGAAGGTATGAAGAAACTGGTCACCTACCTGCTGACTTCCTGGTGCTACCAGAGGGCCACGAAAAAAATCACAAAACCGTTTAAAAGAAGAAGAAAGTTTCAAATCCATTTTCGACTCAGAACGCTTTTGCACGCAATTCTACTTCTACTCCGATGACCTTTTGGAGGAAGAAGAAGATTTTTCAGGCAGCGAACTTGTTGTCTCTGACGTTAGCGATAGTGATATTGTTGATGATGATGTGCAGGAAATGAAGTTGTTCCTAACTTGTACATCTTTTGGGATAAACATTATTGCTTTCGTTTTTTGTTGATGCAGTGAAACAGGAGCACAGATCTTCATAATCAATTTTTTTTGATTTTTTAATTTCTTTTGAAAAATTTTAAATTTTTTTTCAATTTGTGCCTAAATAAGGTACAAATTAGAGCTCTTCATACCACGCTTTTTTACCTTTTCTCTCTTCCTCCCCCCCCCCCCCTAGACTCACATACCCCCTTCACCCTGGAAGGTCGGAAACAGCCTAGACCCCCTTCACCTGGGGAGAGCCCGGCTCCCCCTATCGCACCTATGACCCGAAGCCGGGATTTAGACACTTACCCAGAGCCAGCGTAATTGACACAAACTTTGAGTATACGATAGTGCACAAGTGCATGATACTTACCTCAAACCTCGACCAAGAACCAAATGTCTTCTTTACTGTATTGAAATTGGTGCTCCCATCGTTGTGATTTTTCTGGCAATGTTGAGACAGCTGCAAGTGGTTGACGAAGACTGCTTTGCAACCGGGACACTCGACTTGAGGAACAGACTTCCTCCCTGTGTTGTTCGAAGTTGACGGCGATTCTCCGTCAACAGCATGCGCACGCTAAACGGTTGTAGGTTAAAAATATGATTTTAGGCGAAAATCCAAGACTTGTAGCTTAGGCACGCGTCACACTCAATCCAGTCTTGATCCGCCTTCAGCCACTTCGCTTCAGGTTGAATCAAAGAAATGACCGATAGGGAAGTGGATCAAGTGGATATCTGCTTCGCTATTGGTCAATTCATTAGTGATATGACCAATGGGAGAGTGGATGAACCGGATCAAGAAGATCAAATGGATCAAGTGTAGCGGGTGCTTGAGAGAAACCGTTCCGTTCATATCAATGTGTTAAGATTTTGATGCAGTAATCGATGCCGTCAATTTGGAAATTGTCCACGTGTCACTGCAAAGGTATAGTCCGGGAAATACTGGTCCGGAAGGTGGAGACAGGGATCGCTAATCCCATCAGCGTGGGTGGTCTAACAAGGGAAGAAAAGTTGGTCGAAGTGACCTATTAAGATGAGATGTACACTGCCTCGTAGACCCTGGAACTCCGCAAATATGCCTTTGCTATCTGCTGTGGCCCTCTGGGCGAGGAGTTACAAAAGTTTTTGTGAGTAAAAAATTAAATGCAAAACTAATGTAAAATCAGTCGTAACATTTTTTCTAGGGCTCAACAGATAGTAGGGTCACTCGGTCAGTAGATATTTTTGATTCAAACGTACCAATTCGCTGCAGCCTCATTTGAACGTTAGGAAAACGCAACTGATTTATAATCTTGCATATGATATACTAATCTTGCATTTCACATTTTACTCACAAGAACCTTCATAACTCCTCGCCCAGACGGCAGTAAATAACGAAGGTTGTTCTAAGGTTCATGAGCCCAAAACCGGACCCCATAGCCTGGAGAAAAAATGTCAAAAATCCGCCTTTTATTGTGCAAAGCAATTTCGAAATTTCCAGGTAATCCCAAGTCCAGTTCCGGCCTCTTACCCATGCACATCCACGTTGATGGGCATGGCGACACCCGCCGCATCCAAATTCTAGGATGAATTTCCGCTTCCAGATTCGTCTTTTGCAGCGTAACCTGAGCAATTACATAGTTGTAAGCTAGCTATTGCGCGTCAAAGCCTAACCAACCTCAGGTTTGAGTGAGAACATTTCGTTGTTGCACTTCCGAAAGGTCATTCTACCAAAATGTGTGGGAAGCCGAGATTGCCAGAGGCGAGTTTGTCACTTTTGCTTTTGCTTAATTTGCGGCCATGAAAAGAATTACGTGTAATTTGAATGCCGGCAAATGTTTAATATATAAAACATTTGATTCAACTGGCTTGGCTTCGGGAAGGCGGGGCTCCTTGACCTAATTAAGGCTAGCTAGTGATCAGACAGCACTCGCGCGAGAGAGACGCAGGTCACCGCGGGCGCGAGCGGCCTTAATTACGTCACAAAGCCCCGCCTTCCCGAAGCCAAGCCAGTTGAATCAAAGCTTATGAGCAAACGGGTTTGTGGGAATTTTCGTAGCAGAGATCTGCTTGACCGCTTGGGTCAATATGAGTGTAGGCCATGAAGTATGCACCACAACTGCTATGTGTTCGGCCATTTGCTACGTATTGTGGCCGAACCGATCTATACATTAATCATTCCGCAGTAAAGCGGGCGGGTTCGGGGGTCAACGGGGCTCTTCTGTTGTAAGCTTCCTCAGTGTCACAATAAACGTTCATAGCGACGTGTTGTGTTATTTCCCAGTTATAGTTGCCCTATAGTGGCACACTATGTAGCTTTACTGAGAGTACTTGCCACATGGATCCAACTGTAGAATGCCACAGCTACTAGCGAAGCAACACTGATAAATTAATAGACCATATCAGTGACCGTATAACAGCAGGAAGCATACGTCGCCGTCTAAGCGGAGGGTCAAGAAATAGTACGATATTAAGAATGCAATGAAAATAGCGATACTCATCCTGATAGAGAGTTTGCCGAAAAATATGAAGTAATGCCACATCTATCCGTTGCCTTCGAGGTTGAGAACATGGAGTCCAAGCATGACGCAATACAGCGAATCAAGAGATATACAGCTGTGAATTGGTATTACGCACTTTTATGGTATTTACTCATGCATGCAAAATTGAAAGATGATCTCCAGACTACTTGCCGATGTAAAGATGATGTAAAAATATGGAAAGACACCCGAAAGTGAGAAGTCCCACCTTCTTATGTTGTCGTAGACTCTCTACAGAGAGATAAGCCCTTCCGCACTTCTCGCATTGACGTCCATCTGTGTAGACCGCCCTTCTAAGAGCAATTCTAACATCACCAATCTCTATCTCACTCAAACTATGTTTACTCCGCAGATGGCGGTAAAAATTGCCCAGCCGGAAAGGCCCTTCTTTACAAATGTGGCACTGAACCGACGTCAGTGTACCTAAATACCAAAATGTGAAAGTGGTACAGAAACCTTGGGGACGATATCGACGACCTTCACAGGAGACGCGTCGGATTGTTTATCAAGCAATGGATTAAAAAAAGCAATGAGATCGCATTATATGAGATGCATTTCTTACTCGCAAGGGTAGAGAGATGGATAAAAAAATGAAAAGTGTGATCATTCAAAGTTCAAGCAAGTGGAAATGAAGCTGCCTTGAATATGAAGATGAAGGAAACGAAGCAAAGTTCTAGAAGAGTATGTACGGAGTGAGAAGAAACAACCAAACCAACTGAAGCACTTAATGTAAATCAGGCTAAGCCCAGTATAGCTCACAAAATAAAAAATCGAAATGCGAACTGCATAGCGCTGTCATCTAATCGTCGACAAAAATAGTAAACTCAAATTCCAATCTCTTACCTTATGTTCTCTCAAGCCAGCTTCCGAGAAATAGCTTTTTCCGCAGACGTTGCATTTTAACTCCGTAGGGTATATTGCTCTCTTTATTGCTCGTTTGACCTCCTCGACATCCTCTTCAAAATAATGGTGGCTATTTCGCATATGTTTATACAGATTTGAAAGCATGAACGGTCCCTTTCCGCAAACAGAGCATACCGCCCATGTCCGCATTTCGACTGAAATTTGAATTCTATACCTCGGACATACTAACCTCAAGAGGGCGTGTATCTGGCCAATTTACAAAGCGAAAAATAATGTGCTCAAATAAGACCCGCACTAGAGCGCAAATCTTGTTCGGAGCACCTTATTTTCGGCTTATTGTTTGCCAGCTATACTTTAAGATAAAGATAACAACTCCCTTTCTCATTTCCACTTTTCACCGCTATTTAGTACTAGGAAGCTGATGTTTTCTCTGAAAATGATAAAATCGCTTTTCGTTCTAGTTTCTTATGCACCTGGGGTTATTTTTCATGATGATTCCGAAGTTAATATGCATTTTGCGAGACCATCGTTACCTTACTAAAGTAACTTGTAATCCGGAACATCCTGTTCTTGGCAATTTAATCCAAGGTTGTTACTCAATCTGACAGTTACAGAAGCGATTATTAGTAGAGAGTAACGAAACAAAGAGAGTGAGAGTAACATGAATTCGCTAGAAGTTCCTGAGTGCAGTATGGTTTGGGAAATGATATGACTAACCGATTTCCTACGTCATTCATCAGAATGTTAATTCCCCTGATACTGGAATGATATATCTATATTATTGCACCTGCGATAGCAATAACTCCCTATATAAAGCAGTGCTTGCGCTGGTGACTCCCATTCTGCAACAGACACACGCAGGAGGATGGCAGAGTCAACCGACGTGGACGGAGGAACAGGCTGGAGATGATGAACGCAGATGGGAGACGAAGAGGAGAAGAGAAGAAAACGAAAGAAGTCGATTAGAAGAAGGAACATCACGAATTCTGACTAGTGAGCCGCGTGAAATTAGCGGATGAGTGGAACTCGCAATCGTCGTTCGCCCGCTCAGAGCCTTGGGGTTATAGCCGTTCAGGGCAAAGGACTGAATACCTCAATTAGGCACCGCCTCCGCGGAATGCTGGCCCTTTCGCTTTACTGTTGTGCATTAGGACCATTAGGACCACATTAGGACCAGCACCAGCAGTCCGCAAAGGCGGCGCCTAATTGGGGTATTCGTTCTCCTAATCTGCCGCTCATACGAAACTCCATTTTTGCTCGCCTTTCATATGCAACAAATGCCAGGGAGGGGAGCCTGGAATAACGGGAGCAGAATCCAGAGGAAAGAATCGAATCACTGTGATATTGAACTAGAAATCCGATGGGGGGCTGCTGTTAGGAAATTATGTAGAGCGTGGAAGCAAAATGGTAAGACAGGCATCATGAGGGATGGACCAACGAAATCGCCTCCGCGGACTACTGGACCGGACACGATTACAGCAGTATGACGAAAGGACCAGCAGCCTGAAGAAACACCTAATTGAGGTGTTCGTACCTCTACCCATTATGAGTTATGTAACAGCAGTTGCGCAACGTTTTACCTATTCCTCTTATCTAACATCAATCGCATCAATTTCTCGTTGAGGTTCACGACACATACCTTTCGGTGTCTGTTCAGACCAACCGAAGTGAAGAAGGTGAGTCCGCAGATGTCACAGTTGAGCTCCTCTCTTCCAGCGTTGGCCCCTCTTCTCACTGCATTCTTTACATCAGCGATCACATCTTCGGCGCAACCATGCTTCTCACGTAAGTGAGCATACAGGTGCTTTAGAAGATATGGCCCTTTTGTGCAGATGTGACAATAAGCTTTTGTGAGCATCTTCTCAGAAAACCAGGCTGCAATAAAGTAAATCTACTTGTCGAGAACAGCGACAACAGACAAAAGAGAAAACAAGTGAATTCCAATGAAACTGTAAAACATACATCAAACATCAAAAAAATAGAAGTTGGTTTAAGAAACAAAATTAGCGTTACGAGACAAGAGTATTTCTCGAAAGTTTGATTTTGAGAGGTGGTAACTTCTCTCGACTCTGAGGGGGACAGCAAATGTAATCAAAAGCCACAGAACATCAAAAGTAAGTAAAAAGCAAAGACGAATCAGAAACCAAATCAAAGTGTAACCAAGAGAGGAAAGTCGATGAAAAGTGATGCTGCGATAGTCGAAATGGAAAAATATCCAAAGAGTATGCGAAGTGGGTATCATTCTGGAATCAACATGTTAACTAACTCTTTTCGGACAAACCAAAATACATATTATAGTCGAAATGAAAAATAACCCCAGGCACATAAGAGACTAATCAAAAAGCGATTTTGAAATTTCTAAAAAAAACATCACTTTTCTGATACTAATTAGCGATGAAAGTAGAGGAAATAAAAAAGAAGCTGTTATTTTCATCTTAATAAAACAGCTGGCAGAGAATGGACAGCAAATAAGGTGCTCCGAGCAAGATTAGCGCTCTAGTGCGACTCTTGTTTAGAGCTCATTATTGGTCTTTGTAAGTTGGCCAACTGTGCGGCCCTCAGGGGAAGTTTGTGCGAACGGATAAATGCCAGGAACTGACAAGTACGAAGCGCATAATGCAAGTATGTCCATGTAACACAACTAGGAATGAATAACAAAGAGAGAGCGGAGAACATCGAGAGAAATATTAACGTACGTTAAGTGAGATATCCAGAGTTCACACTCAAAACGTGTATATGTGTTCCACGTTAAAGAAAGTAAAAATTAGTGAAGAAAGTTTTTTGTACGCAACTTCATTGAAAAGGAGAAAGAAAAAGTACTTTTTTTTCTCAAACTAGTGAACCAGTAGTCAAAGGTGCCAGATTGCACAAGCGCGCTGGGACCGCCACGCGGTTTCCCGCTATTGGCAGATTTTTGAATCAAGTTAACGATTCTTTATATATTAGATAGATATAATAGATTAGATAGAAAAAAGAACAAGCATAGGCTAGTCGATGCGCGTAAACTAAATGCCTCCTAACATCGAGTGCATGTGCATAGAAGGACCTACCTATTATAGGCTTTCGCAAAGAAAGTGTCACTTCCAGCGGATCTCGCCGCTGTCCAAGCGCGGCGTTTGCGAAGTACCCGTCGGTCACTTCAAACCTTCAATCGCTGCTCAGCGTGGCAAATTTTAGAGAGGATGATATATCCGCGGAACACGCATAAGGCGCAAGCGAGGCAGCGTGAGGGCCCGAGCGGCTGAAGCTGTGACACTCTCAGCGAGACAGCTTATGCGCTACCATAAAAGCTTTCTCTCCAGGCATGGTTTTGATGCATGACACCCTAGCTTCTCTTCTACTGACACCGTTCTACATAACTTCACCTAAGTGCATGCAAACGCAAGTATGAACGAGAATACGCATAGTCGGACAAAGTCTACTTCTGAACGAAAACGGCCGCTAGCTCAACGCCTTCCGCAACACCTACGGGTTCGACTATTTGGTATTCCCTGTGATTCCCAAACTCTAGTGACAGGCTACACACCGCGCTCGAACCGCGAACGCCCGTAAAAGGGCTCGGACCGGGGAGGAGTTGCAGGTGCGCTCCATAGCCATTTCGATTAGAGCACCGTTTTTTCAACTGGAGCGCACTATCTCCAAACACTTCCACGCCGATCTGGGTAGTTTTTGAGTATACGTATAGTCTTTGACATCTTTGCGGGAATTTGACGGTAAAATGTGGACAAATCATGTCAGAGGATCAAAATTGCCAATTCTTTGTTACGATAAGACCCGTTTGCGTGCATTTCATGCGTAGAAAAAATTCTGTGAAACATCAAACCATTTTGCTGCTTAACTTTGAAGCACAAACCCTCAAGCCCGCCAGAAATTTGAAATCCTTGAGAATGTTTTGCTCGAAATACATAAATTCCAAGCATGCTGGATTTTTTGTGCATATTCGACCGACCCTACATGTGTTTGGACTCTTGTCATATGTATTTCCACGAATAATACAATATCTATGCTTCAATGGATTTCAATGATAAGTAAGATCTGCTCCAAGTTTCAAGGTTTCCAGATTTCCGGATTAGTATGAACGCAGCCTACGGCATGTGCCTATGAACCCTTCCTACGAAAAACTACGAACTTGTCCCGAAGTTGCTCAGTGAGAACATGGCAGCAGGCCAAGTTCCATGTTCAGCACATTGGTCAGCTCTTGCTCAAAAAAATTCTCATTAATTTCAATTCCAGTAAGTAAAGTTTCATAGTTAACTTAGTATAGCACCGAGTTTCAAAATTTGTTTGTTTCTAGAACATTCCTGAGGTTGACAGCTGGGCAAATTAATTTCGTACATTCAAAACTATTCACTAACTGCAAAAATCCCGGTTTTTCCATTTAGCAAAACGTTACAGTCTATAAAGGTCACCAGCATAAAGTTGCCATTTTCCACCCATTTTTTCTTCAATTTTCAATCTAAGCATCATCGACAAGCTTATCGAACAACATTAGCAATGATGATTTACGACTATGCAGCGCTTTTGAAGCTCATGAGAAAAGGCGACGATTGCTATCAAGCGCAAAATTGAAATATGACACATTCGATTTCTTTTTTTTTAGCTCTCATTGCTTCAAAGACGTCGATCTAACAAGTTTGCCAGCAGATCTCAGGAAAGAATTTTATGTTTTCGAGATAAGTAATGTAATTACAAGACAGCTATAGGTCGTCTCAAGAAAAAAAGACAAAGCAACACCGTAAAGGATGTTTTGAAGGAGTAGGAAGGACTGAAACACAGCTGTTGCCAGAATTTGATTGGCCACATGCGAGCCGTAAAAAGAGTTCGCACACGAACACCACAGCTAAATCCATCCCAATTTAGCGCTAGCAGCCCTAAGATACTTCTAAAAGCTGCACAAAGTGGATCCTCAAGTGGTGTGAACTCAAAGAGAAGTTAGAGCAGCAGAGATTAACCCAAAAACGGGAGTTCAAGACAGTTACTGACAATGAGTTTCAAGCAAAATTCAGGCAAAGGTTATAGAGGGTAAATGCTAACTATGGCTGGACTGGATAGTTGCATGGGTTGCTCAATCTTGCTACCTCAGATTCAATTCAAAACAGCAATTGAGAAGGTCAAAAACTCATTAAAATGCAGTTAAGAACAAATTCGTAAGTATTTTGGTTAGTTTTCCAGCAAAAGCCACCAGACTTAGCAAGTGGTAACCTCAGACAGATAGTAATCC